GTTTTCGTTGCTGTCGCCGCTTAGCATTACACGATTTTATATTTCGTTTGAGTAAACTATAGATACATGTATTAAAGAGAGCTTCACTTTTAGCCCTGGCTGAATCTATACATTATTTTCTATAACAATTTTAATAAAAGAGGAAAACGTAGTAGTACGTAACTGTATGACAAAATCAACTCTGATCAAATCGAATCTATAAAAAAGGTCTTCCGTTATGTTCCTGACCTCAGCAGGTAGGTGGTTGAAAACTGAGGCAGCCAGGTCGTGACAAGTGTTGTTTTCAACGGTAGGGACTCTGATAGTTGGGGCTACTGAAGATCTTATAGGAGTCAACTTTGTGTAAATCAGTATTCAAATAATCTGAAACGTTACATGTAGTGTCATAAAGAGCTTTAAAATTCATTTTTAGCATTGTCATTTTTCTCCTCTGGACTACTTACCCCTGAATACTGACCTTTCGATAAGATTTACTTTCATTAAAATGTACACGTAGAACTTTTGGTCTATTTGTTTTTGTTATCTTGAAAACTAAGAGGCTGGAAGTAAATATATTTTCTCCTTACCAGCTCCTCTGAGACTTGCTTCAAGGCTTGGAAGCTCAGCAGCTGCTTCAGGAGAGGCACTGTAAACAGAGGCCCCATCTTCGCTTACTATACTGAAACAAAAACAGACAATTCCAAATTGTAACCTTCGTAATATTCCTACGTTGTAACCTTGCATTGGTCTGATTGTTTATTGATCGTCCCTGTTAGATAGTGATTACGTTGCTGAGGCAACTGCAGGTTCGACGATAAGACCAGTGTGATTGATATAGGGAACTAAGTACACTTTCCGGATATAAATCAAATGGAACGGACCATTTCCTTTCGGTCCAACCAAAACATTTGGGACCAACTTTGAAGGTGGTCCACTTTGACCGGTTCAACCGGTCGGACTACCAGTCGGACTGACTGTCCATGGCCACTTTGGACCTGAGGAACTGACAGCAATTTTTGGCGAAAAAATAAACATATTTAGTCAAGTTTAGTTTAGGTTAGTCAAATAACGACCAATACTCAACTTCTAAACGAAACATAAATAGTAAGGTTCTTGAGAGTTTTATTTTTGGCAGTTGGAGCCGCACATACATTTAAGTAGCCAGCTAACACACAACAGCTTTCCCTACAAAATGTCTTTGATAAAGGAAGAGGGATGGTAAATTTTAAGGTCGGTGAAGAAATGAGGTTCAATTCCTGACGGGTACTCAGGTTTTTTCATTGTCCCGTGTTCGTGACACGTTGATCACATCATTTCTCATTTCTTCACCGAGCTCAAAATTTACCATCTTTCTTCTTTTTATCACACACATGGCGATTTCGACATTGCTGATCCTAGCAGTACGCAGGACGCATATCATACATGAACCGCCGAACCTTGTATATGGCCCATTCGCCACGAGTCCTTCGCAGCTCAGTGGTTAGAGCATCCGATCGGTGTACGGAAGGTCATAGTTTCAATTCCTTTCGGGGACTCAGATTTTTTTCATTGTCCCGTGCTCGTGAGATGTTGACCACCCCTCCCTTTCGACGCCTCTTATGTAGGCTATTACAATTGTTCTTTGAAAATCTCCCACCACTAAAAGGCAAGGAGAAATGACTGAAATCCCTGGAGTATGTCAAAATCCCCTAGGGTTCTCTTCCTTCCAGTTCCCGAATAAGGGGACATGGAAAAGTCCATACAAAAAGGAAACAACAACAACAAAAATTAAAACAAACAAAAACCAACCCCCAGTTGTATGATATAAATGCACTTTCACCACGGGTAATTGCATTAATAGGAAATTGTCCGCTTCAAAGCAAGTTTAATAATATTGAATTATTATTACCAATAAGCGATATCTTGAGGTGCAAATGCACGCTGTTTGATGAGCTCACTGATAAATGTTTCTGCATCGCGACATCCTACGCCGTTACCGATGGCAACGTAATCGCATCTGCAATGAAACAATACTGTGTGGTAATTATATAGAACATGTTTACCCAGGATGACTACGTCAGTTTAGAAAAAACTGCTATCAGTGCGGGCCCTGCTAATTAAAATCTAGCTAAAAAAAACTAAAAGGAAAAAAAGAAAAAAAAAAAAGACCGACAATAAGACTATAAAAATTAGAAAAGTTAAAGTTTATGCTAAAAACTATTTATATAATATAAATACGAATTAAGACTTATCCAAATTATTAAAAATCCTTGCCCCTTTGTAAAAGAATGATTGCTGCGTGCGTGCACTTACATGTAAGATTTACTTTTTCCAAAATTAATTTTTTACCGTTTCTTGTGTTATAGTTGAGAATGCGAAATTTGCATAACTTAAAGTAACTTTGAAGATAGCTAGGTGTAGTAACTTAAAGCTAAGTTTACGCGGTACCGGCTAGATCTTCGTGCCGAAACGAAAAGCCATCCGGTATTGTGGAAACAGTAATGGCACAGATCTGGAACAAGTCGTTCACAACAACGAACGTCGCACTGGAGCGGTTGGCCGAGTGGTTTTGGTGAACTAAATCCCAGTCCTCACTCCTGGATATTTACTTCCGTTTTAGTGGATTTCAGTCCTTGCTCCTACTTATTCACTTCCGTCGCCAGGGTCTTCTTGTTTCCAGTATGGCGGCCGCTGTTATTATTGGAAAACGAGAAGACCCCAGCGACGAGGTTGGTAATCAGGAAGTCCCGGAATCAGTCTTTGTTTCTGAGTGCATCACAGGTACCCCAGGCTCAGGAGTGAGGATCATTGGTGCGCAACAGAAATATTACCACGGTTTGTATGGAGGCTCATTTAAGGGTCAAGAATAGCACTAAAAATACATTCAGAACTTCTTACTTTGTCTCTTGTTTTATTTATGGAGTATACATGACAGTTTTTTAGAAGTGCTGATTTCTATTTTTCCCCATCAACCATCATTGTTCAACTTCCTGTCCGTACATGTATTTACCTGTGTCTTTTAACGAAGTCAACCAATGTGCTCTTTGCTTGTTCAGTCTTTGCCTTCTTTCCAAATGGGAAGATTACCCCTGTCTCCAAAACTTCACCTATAGTACAATGAACCCACTAGAACTGTTATCCAAGATTCAATTTTCGTTATCCAAGGAGCTAAACATTAAATGTATGAACAAAATTGTAAATGCATGAACAAAATTGTAAAAAAGGAGGTACTTGTAGTTTGCACAGGGTTCCCTCTCATTACAACATGCAGGAAAAATACTCTTTACTTTCACTTTCTACCGAACTGAGCCAGTCAACAGTCCCCTAGGAGGGGGGGGAGGGCATGCAGGGGTTGTTTGGGGGGAAAGTTCTCCCCCCCATACTCTCTCGCTTCCTAACTGTTCCCAACAGCAGCTGTATAATAGACCCCCTGGCGCCAGTTACAAAATCTTAACACTGGGCGTAACAGCTATCGTCGAGCACAACGCGCAGTTGAACTCTCTACTCCCTAAAAAAGAAGACATCACTGTTTATATAAACATTGTTCTTGTTATTCAAAGTCATAACGCGAGTGAAACAAAGGAATCTTTTGTTTCAACAACAAATGCGCTTCTAGTTGAAATAAGAAATGAAATAAGCAAATTAGCCAACGCCACTACTGTAAAATTAAAGCGTTTTTGAACCTGCATTACTGGACTCACCAGTGGTGCTCAGCACTGCTAATTTACATCCATGAGAGAAGCCTGGGTCGAGCCCAAGCACGCTCATTCCCCTGACAGGAGGGGTGAGGAGAAGACGATAAAGGTTCATCATAAATAGATCAACACTTTCCTTTTCTGCCTGTTTGGTTAATGACGTCCTAAAATAATTGAAGCAAGAAAAGCAATAATAAATGACGACTCAGTTTCTCTTGTGCCCTGGTCATCTGTAGTTAATATCACAAAATCAGCACTTCGTCATCTTTTAATACAGAAAAAACCCTGTTAACAATAAATAACTAGAACTCCACGCAGATTTGAATTATTAGTTTTACTTGCACGGTGCTTTAGTTTCAGCTTGGCCGAAAGGGTACAGTGAATTCCTTGAAGCCGATTATACAATAACCTTGTCAAGGAAGTCGTCTGCAACCATGTCATGCATGATCTCAGCGCGTGATGTTAAAAGACAAATTACCTGGATTGTCTGGTGACTTTGGGTTTAATAAGTCTATTATAAGCATCGTCCACTGCGGCGTTAAATAACTTTTTGATCTTTCCTGCGACAGAGGAAGGTCTGATGAGATATAACTTAAAAGCCGCATAGCCAAAAAAAAATATGCATTGTATGCAGACATACATCTACGCTTAGCTATTTCAATAAACGTAGTCAAAAAACCTACGATACCAGAAAGCATAGCAAAATAGGCAATTCCAAAAAAACATAACTAAATAATTAATAAACTCAGCCACTGAGTAGCCTGCGAAAACATCTGTTTCTCCTCGCTCTTCGCCGCTGGGAACGTTTCGCGCGGAGGAACGTCTGCGACTCAGCGACAGACATTCCATACTGATGACGTAAAATCTGTCCGCAATCCGGTCGGAAGCGCTGATTGGTCGACGGAGTAGTTACATTGTTTTAGCTATTGTTTACGAATGACAGACAAAAGACAAAAGGCCACAAAGGTCAAATGTAAATACGAAGAACCTCGAGCAAAATAGTCAAGTCAAGTCAATTCTTCTCTAGAGGAAGCGTTTGAGTTTTGCTAGAGCTCGTTGGCAGATGAACACGACACTTAACCAAAATCGACCAGAAGACAAGTAAAATTGGACAAATTTGTATTTGGAACCCCATGACTACCGGATTTATTCAGGAGAGATTTATTATGTAAACATTGGTTTGTGTCATCAGTATGGAATTTCTGCCGCTGAGTCGCAGACGTTCCTCCGCGCGAAACGTCGCCAGCGGCGAAAAGAGAGGAGAAAGGGATGTTTTCGCAGGCTACCACTGAGTAACTCTGTCAAAAAATCAGTGACGTAAACTTCTGTTACGATTTACATCATTATATGGCAATGACAACCAAAAACATGTTGTAAACGAATAACAAAGTAGGCACGACCTACCCACACTACTCTACGTACCGTAGGCTTGAGGCCCTTAAATCCCACTACGTTACCCCCTGTACAGTGTATTTAAAATAGCTATACAAGGTCAAAGCTACTGTAAATACGCCCCCCGCCCCCACCCCCGCTACCACAAGAAAAAAAAAAACACGAAGTTGGCCATCTACAAGAGGCTCCAACGACAGACGAATCTTTATTACTGTACTTATACTCTCTTAGCAAGTGATTTCTCGCTCACTCATTGGTCGAGCGCTATTCATTTATTTATTTACTTTTCTTTTGCTATGAGAGTGTAGACAATGTACATGTACTTCATTGCTTTTTCAAAGAATGTAAGCATACGTGATGTACCTGGCGCGTCACAGGGCACCCATGTTTTACGAAGAAGAACGAGGAACTGCTTTTCTACGGTCTTGGGAATGGTTAGCTTGACAGTAAGGACCTTGTTCTGTTCTCCCCTGTTTAGAGCAAGCACCTTGAAAAAAAAACATATTAAGTTAAAAACATGTTCAATTGCCTAGATACTAAAAACAATAAATTTCTAACATCACCATGGCTGCTGTCAAACGATTTCAGTTGTAATTTTCAAGTGGTGTTAAGAAATGTAAGAGGGTGTGTAACACGAAGAAAAGGATATGGGCTTGGACCTCGGGGCGGAGCCTCTAACCTCTCCGTATATAAATTTGTTGAGAAGCCTTCTTCCCGTCTCTCCCAAGCCCTGGCGTGGGCTGCTTTAAGGGGTGACAGGGACATTGTTTGTAAGGTGGTTCTAACTTTTTAAGCTGTGGAAAAATCCTTTCCGTTTTCACAAAACTACGCGTCCGCACGTAGCGTATTTAATCGATTTTTGACCATTCACATGAAAATGATGGGGATACGATAGCTGCGTCCCTTAAGGTTGATTTCCACCAAGGCATTTGTGGCTACGCACGTTAACGCACGTAAATTTTTATCAGGTAAATAAAATAGGGGCAAGATAAAAAGTGCTGAGCTTAAACGAGAAGTTGAGCGAGGTTCAACTTTTACGCTTTACGAGCGACCTTTCGTGCTTTGCCTCTATTATATTTGCGAGCGTAAATTTTACGCACGTAAAAATTACGCAACACTGGAAATCAACACATGGGGTGGTTGCCATTGTCGCGTATTATAAATTTTCACGTAGATACGCACAAAATTTTATGCGTGTAAGTATTTAAAATGGCGGTGAAGTGTGAAAGGCCGCGCGTAAAAATTTCGTGCATATGAACGTGTAAATTATGCAATGGAAATCAACCAATAAGGTGGATTTCCATTGTCGCCCTAATTTTCACGTGTATACGCACAAAAATAGAGGTAATGTGTGAAAGGCCGCGCGTAAAATTTATGTGCATACGAACGTGAAAATTAAGCGACAGTGGAAATCAACCTTTACAGTGTGTGCATAATGCTAGTGGCATAATACGGATGACATCATCGTATTCGGAAATCAAACCTACGCTCTTTCGTCTGTCCACACGTTTAAACTTGCGTACAGACGGAAGGCTGTTTTAAAAACGTCCGGATATGTGTGAACGGGGCCATCAGTTGAACAAATGAGTACTTACTTGATGAGCTCTGACAGAAGAAACTGATAGTTTGAAGCCATGATACTGCTCATATTTCTTGTCTCCTCCACCTTCCTTCTTTTCTTTCGCGGCTGAACGAGACAAACTTGACTCAAGTTGAAGGGGTTGTTTTTTCAACCTGAAGAAAATTACACACTATAAATTAATACGGCTTTCACATTATACGGGTACATGCATATTTTGTAAGCCAAGCTGGTAAATGTGATGCATTTTTTAAAATAACTCCTAGACCTCCTTGACACACAGGCATCCCAGAGTCACCCTATATCATATGCGGGCACTT